AGATAACGAGTCAAGAAGACTCACCGGCAAATCCCTAAAAAGCGGTATATATACTTTAAGTCTGGCCTATTTGAAGAGGTGTAAAGTTATTTGTTTGATTACAGTCATATTTCAACTTCGAAGCTTGTAAGTGTGTCTGTCTCTGTATTTGTATGTGTCTGTTTGTGTTTGCTTATGCACGAAACGCCCAGTTTTTGGCCATCAAGGTTTAATTACCCCCATCTCCCCCCTTCTAAATACATGTTATAACCATCACTCCGATTGTGTAAGGTCGGACAGTCGTCTGGTTTTGTTGCTGAGCCTATTTCTTTTTTAATTTTTGGTTTTAATGTGAGAGACACGAGAGTGAATGGTCTCAAACTTGTCGTTTTGCTGATTATAGCATGTTTGCGGCTAAACGTAAAACTGGAGAAGTCATCGAAATAAACCGAACAGGAAATACCTTGAATGCAATGAATACCGGCAAAAAGACAAGTAAAAATTAATTGTGCTCAATTAATAGTTTTGGTTCTGTACTTTTAGCTCACTTTTATCTCTCGCATTAAGACCAAAAATTAAAAAAATAGGCTTATCAACAAAACCAGACGAGTGTCCAACCTTGCACAATCGGAGTGGTGGTTATAACTTAAATGTAGAAATGTAACACTCGTTAACACTACTGATCAGTCTGTCAGTAATTACTACATATTTTAAACGATTACCCATCTTGGATGTTAGGGTCGTTCGCTCCAACGTAATACCCAAGTAGAGATAGGGGTCATCAAACCTTGATGGCCAAAAACAGACGTTCATTTATGCTGTCCTTATTACTGTCAGCCATCACTTTGGGTTTCGTGCATAAGCGAACACAAACAGGCACATACACATACCAATATTTACACGTTAGGGGGATACGAAGCTTCCTCGAATAAAATCATTTAGTCTTTGAATATTAATACCGTCGATGATAAGGTTGTTAATTAGTATGTATTTGGGTTTGGGAGTTGGTTGCACTTTTTATCCGCCCCTATCTAGAAAGTATTTTTCTGGTAGAGATGTTGATTGTATGTTGATTTCATTACATTTAGCTGGTGTATCTTAGATGTTGGGTTCATTAAAATTTATTATAACCTGTAATTGTTATTTTTATTCAACATGTTCTGGTTTGGATTATATGTTTTATGTAGATTGGGTACTTCGTACGCCAATATTTGTGTGAGGTTATTATTTTACTTCTTTTTCGTCGTTTTTATCTATTCCGGTTTTGGCTGGAGCTATAACAATGTTACTCTTTGATCGTAAATTTAGAACATCATATTTTGATCCTCTTGGTGGAGGTGATTCTATAATGTTTAAACACATGTTTTGGTTTTTTGGACATCCACAAGTCTATGTTTTAATATTATCTGGTTTTCAATGATTGGTCAATTATGTACAGAATTAAGAAAGCGGAAATCACCAGTTAGTTATTTGGGTATGGTATTAGCGATGTTTTCAATTGAC